AAAGGGTGAGAAAATACCTTTCCAATAATACCTCACAAGTCTAAATCGGGAGAGTTAAGGTTCAGTTATTCAAGTTTTTTTTTATACCAATCTTTGAAAACTCATTATTACGATTCCGTTCAAATTTTTTTTTTAATTTTTTAAAAATATTTTTATGCAAATTTTTTAAGCTTAAACTGTTTTGTCATTTGAGAGGATTTTTTCAAAAAAAATCTTTAAGAAACTATTTCTATTCATAAAAAACTCCATTTTTGGAGGTATTTTAAAATCGGCCCAGCTCACTTAAATCTTAATATTTTTTCAAAATATTTTGGTGAACGTCTTAAAATATAATATATTTTATAATTCCAATGAAAAACAGTACCGATTTCTTTTTTGTATGGGGAGTGATGCAGTCTAATGTACATATATAAAAACATACACATGTACAATGTACATAAATGCGAATAAATTTATGACTATATAAATGATTGGATAATAAAATTTTTTTAAAAGAATTCGAACTTAATGCGATACTGAGGCATCGTCTAAGTGTTATAATACGAGTAAATATGGAGGACAAATCGCCTGCAAATTGCATTAAGTTATTCAAACTACAACAGATACCATAATTTTCCCTTCCTTATTGAAGGTACTACATTTTTTTTGCTGTATCCCCACATATTTTATGCTACAATGCTTTTTTTCTTGTGAGCGAAAATTTTGGAATTCCCAACCAAAGGAGTTGGAAAGTAGTAAAAAATTTATGTTTAACTGTTATTTTATGGTCTCATAAAAATTATGTATATGGGTATTTCCAAACTGGCGTTACGTGGCACAGTTACAAAAAAAAATATATTGAAAAGGTCAAAATTTTAAAAGGGTTTATCTATATTTGCATATCAATTAAATGACCTCTTATTCAGTAAAAAAGATTACAACTGTTGGTAGCAGTGTTGCCGCGCCGTCTCAAGAAAATGTATCCCTGGCCAAGCCAAAAATGTATCCAAATGTATCCATTTTTCTTTTTTTACATATACATCTCATAATTTGTAAGAAAACCAAACAAACATTTTCATGAAGAAGTCATAATTTAACTCATCCTAAGGACTTGGAATACATGTGCATAAAATCAAACATTTGTAATTTCAATTTATAAAGTACATTTTTTGTGTATAAGTATTTTGCAAAGTAAATATAATAAATAGCAAGTACACTCTAAAAAGAGCATGTAAAACTACTACTGAAAAGTATCTATTTTTCAACAAGAATCTGTATAAATATACGTATAGGATGTTCAGTATTTGATTTTGAACTTGAGATCTTTAAAATATACACATAAATACACATATGTAGAATGTTTAAAATTGCAAAAAATTTCAAACTACAAATACATTTCCTACTAATAATAAGCATTACTTTATTTCAAACATTTTATGTGTAAAAGTAAACAGGCAATGATTAATTTTATTACACGGCGTGCAAATTTGCACACATTAAAAGAGGAATCTGGTTACCTCTCTCAATATGCGCAAATAAAATTCATAAAAGTTTCCTTAAATAAATCAACTTTAGTTTTTTTAAACTACATTGAAATCTTCTTTCTTTTTAAATTAACAAATGAAAATATGTGATATGAAGGAGATTACTACAGAAAGAGTATAATTTACTTTATAAATATCGTCGTTTAAAGATGAAAAAATAAGTGAACGAGAGCACTTAAATCGCGTCAAATTTTTAATATAAACAACCACATTTTTCAATTAAGACAACATTCGAATTATTTTTCCTTATTGATAAATTGGCAACTTCAAATATGGCCGACAAATAGACGTCTGCTGTTTTTAATGTTGACAAACCGTTGTCATCTGCACGCTAATGTTGCTGCCAAAAATTGGATTTGCTCACACAAGCTCTTGGCTCAATCCGTATCCATTCGGCCTGAAATATACTAGCCAGAAGTGCGATCGCTTTACAAAAAAGAGAACCATTTTGAAATATAAGTGTTTTTACTCTCTAGAAAATAATTTATGCAACGTCACATACGCGGTTTTGCATTATCTTGCTACGCGGTTTTGCATTTTGTTGATACGCGGTTTTGTACTTTAAACGACGATATGCTTATAAGATCTTACTTAAAGCACCTTTTAAGATAATTAAAGCAATTGCGTTTTTTTTTTTCTTCTGAGTGATAACTTTGTGTAGGATCTTTGGAGTTGTAGGAGATCTGCTGAAGGGGTAATTGACACTGTCACTGCTTGTAAGCATATTCGATCTTTTTTGCCGATGTGTGTTGCTGTAGTGATTTTTTGTTATTTGTTTGTACATTGTTGTTGCCACTACTATAT